TACCGGTACCGGAGCACGGCCCAGCGCCGCCCGGACCTGGCCGGATCAGGCTCAGCTCCTGCCGAGGTTCCGACACGCAGCTGCGGCTCCGGGGGGTCCGAACAGCGCCTTGTGCTGCAGTTGTGAAGAGCCGGGAAAAGAACGGCTGAAATGCTCTGCCGGACTTCTCTGTGCGGGACTGTCAACTGCACGCACACGTTAGCATTTGTTTTGGCACAACAACTGAAGGAAAATACATAAATGTCAGCATTTCAAAAAAATATTTAGGCAAGATTGCGTAGGGTTAGGCTCCAGTCCCGCCTCGTCCCAGCATCCCGATGCCCAAGGCTCACAGCAGAAGATACTAAGGGAAGATCGGGCCTCAATTACACGCTGCAATCATCTACAATGATGCAAAATTTAAACTACAATATGCATACGCACACATTGCTCCTGTGCTTGATGATTTGTGCACACACGTAACACTAGAGTGCCTGACCAAACATGCATATGTTCATACAAGCTAAATAATCAGAAAAAGCCATTTGGGTAGTTTTCCACAGAGCAAATTAGAATTCTTCAAACGGGATTGATGCTGCCACCAGAAAAACGCCTTCCCTCGGGGCCCCAGCCCGTTAGGGTATTACCTGCGCAGAGCAGCAAACGAGGATGCGGCACACCAAGAAACGGATGGTTTTACCCGGTAGGAACAAGCCATGAACGAACGCGGAGGCTGAGGCTGGCCCACAACCCAAGGTTATCGGCAAAGAACCATCTTCATGAATAGACCTGATTACAGACCTGGAGTGTAATCAGAATCTGCAAAGCGTAGAGATTGCTTTGGCAATTTAACAGTCATCTAAGGCATATTTACAGCCAAATTATAGATGTTATTCTTCAAGTAACTCCTACAGAAGGACAGCCACACAGACTTGGTCTAAATCAGTCTTACAACTTTCTCATCAGGTTAGGACAGGGACTGAGTACATTAGTCAAACTACAGGGGTACAAGAGCCAGAAAAAATGCAGGTAAATCACCAGCTTATGAATTGTCTGTAATTATTACATTCTCCACAAAACCTATGCTGCATACAGATATACTGCTGCAGGCCAGATCAGTTCAGGGCTGAAGACAAGCTCACATGGCATGCAAGTACTAAACAAGTGCTAGTAACGGACAGAAAACAGCAATAAGTAATAAAATGTACCGGTTTTATTAAAACCAGAATGTAAGAATGCATTTTTCCTTGTTTTTCTCAATTTGGGAAATAGAAAGAGGATTCATTCAAAAGAAAATTTCTAACATATTCACATTACTAATGCAAAATGAACCAAGTCTCTTTATTTACCCTTTTCAGCTCAAAAAATCAAATCTCTATTTTTTCCACTGAAACAGGGGAAAAAAGCAACAAAGAACATTTTCAATTCTAATATAACATTAATTATCCTAGGACTAATCTTTTCTAACATACAGAAATTAGGTCAGTATTACTAACTACATTAATAGCTGAATTAATTTGGCTTTAAACATGCATATTTTATGTGATCTGTTTAAAAAAAAAACACATGAGGAGCATAGATACAGCATTTTCTTTTAGCCTCTATTAACAAAACAATATTTAATTAAGGAGTAAAGAGGGAAGAAGAATGCTGGAAAATAATACAATTTGTCACCTAATACTTATTCAAAGCCATAAATCTGTACAAAACATACTATTCCCTACAAATATTTTTCATTTAACCTTGGATTCAAGAGTAATTGTTACTACACAATTCACATTAATTTAAACAAGGGAAAAAAATCTACCTACTTAGATTTCTTTGTACTCCACAGCTTGACTGCATTCCAGGCTGTCACATGCCCAGTTCCAACTATTTTCCCCACTTTAAGTTCCTTTTAGAAAGAAGTGTTGAAAAGATTGAAAACACTATTTTTAGGAATAAGGCTTCCGAACATTTTGAAACACTTAATCTTTTATTAATTGACATTCTCACATAGACTGAATAGATATAATCCGCTCAGTGTTGCTCCTAAGGGTAGCAAAAATACCACGCTCCTTGTTGGAGGGAGCCTTTATTGCACAGAACTAATTTGTGCTGCATCATGTCAGACACAAACCACAACTTACTCTCAATGCCTGAAAGCCCCTTTACAAAATTTTTGTAAGGGGTATGGCAACAAGTTGGAAAAAAGTTCATAGTCTTATTCATGGTTTTAGTCACAAAACTCTTTCTGATGTCCACCGACTGCAAAGATTCTTTGTTTGCCATACTAAAGAAGAGTGGCTTATCTAAAGAACAGAAGGAAACCTGTCAATAATTTACATATCCACATATTTTCTTCAGTAAATTTAACTTGGAACTAGTGTATTCATTTAAAATTGCTTAACATTTCCCAAAGGACAAGTTGTTTTATTCTCTACTACCATGCAGCACAAACAAGATTTCTACTCCTGGGGATTTTATTCTTTACCTGATACATCACAGCTATTTAATGGATTAGTACAATGTATTTTATTATTCTTCATACAGAATACTATGGTAGAGCAAGGTTAGAGGAAAGACCTAGCTTTATATGTGTATTACATAAAGATGTACAGACCTCCATTTATACTTGAATGTGTTAATGTCCCCAGATTCTACATTAATTTAAAAATCAGGAGAAACAGAAGGTGGGAATGACAAATTTTTTCTCACTGGAGAAGACAGACGACAGAATACACACTTGGACATAATTTCAGAGTCACTACATGGCAGGCATAAGAAAGGTTTTTCACATTCTTCACACTGGAGTAAATAAAACAAAAAATGGCAATTCAGTTAATCGTCTGAGACAGACATGCATTATTTCACCCATGATGGTACAGCTCTATATACACATACATCTAGGCCTGATTTTCGAGATGCACTAAGTGTGTATAACTGTTGTAAACTTGACAGAGATAGTGCTGCTCAAAATTCATTCCCGTGATGAATGGAGTTTTTCCGCTCAATAGAACTATATTTTATGTGACCTCTGATTTTATTTTTTTTTCAACTAATACAGTAGCATACTTTACTTTTTGGGTGACTTGATGGGTATCCAGTTATTAGCTGTTCTGTCTTGGTGATAATCACTAGGTGGTTTGGGGCTTGTTTACTTTTTTTTTTTTAACCTGACCATTATTTGACTAAAGGAGCAATGTAGGAAAAAAAAAATAAAAAAGGAAAATTGATACAAAACAATAATTTTAGAGGAAATATTAACCCACTGTAGTCAGTACAAAGAAGTTTATTCTGCTGACTACACACATATTCATGAAGTTTAATTCACTTCTAACAGAGTTAACATAACATTGATTCCCAATTCACTACTTGTGAAACTATTTACAGAAAATTTGAGATATTTTTCTATTTGGTATGCTTTAAGTATTGCTAAAACACACCAAAAATCCTTTCCTGTACCAAGTTTAACCATACTCTCAAATTTCTGTTAATTGATACTTTTAGGAATGAACGCATTTTCACTGCTGGCACATTTATAACTAACTCATGTAACAGCTTAAACACTGTACACTGCTTTTGAATACCAGCTATTCAACAAGAAAGTCAGATAAAAATATTATAGAAATGATAAAAAAAGTTAGCTCTTTTTCATGCAGTTTCACTTAATGGTTATTGACAAGGCGAAAAATATACATAAGATCTTGCAAACCCACTACCAAAACCAATTGAGGGACTGTAATAAAAAGCATGTTTCGATAGCAACAAGCTTGTTAATGTTCTTCTTTCCTAACATCTATTTATAATTCATGTTTTAGAAGTCAGAATACATACAGTCTCAGCTTTAAAAAGACACGGCTCAGAATTTGTATAAGCTGATTTAAGTCCAGGAGCACATGAATACTACCTGCCTGGGTTTAGTAATACTCCTATATAAGTGGCCAATTACTCTGCAGAAGCATCAAGTGTAGAAAACCAAAATATGTTTCTTTTTAAAAGCATATATACGTGGCTATGTTTTCTAAAAACAAAAATGCACCTGTATATGAAAACTGGTGTCCTTACCAAAATCAATTTAAAAAAAATAACTGTTATTACCACATCCCACTCCCAAAACCAGATTTGACAGTATTTGCAAAGAGAGAACAAACACAATGAATTTTTGTTTTCAGCCTAGGTATGTGACACCTTTCTTTTAACATTTGAAGTTTCTTTCTGCATAAAGTATAAGGTGTGGTTAAAAACCAAAGTGATAGAACCTGAGCAATTTTTGAGCCACTTGCTTTTCTGCTTTCTATCACTGAAGCAATATGATCCATCTTTTCAATATTCCACAATCTCAAAGTAGAATCCTGAGAAAAAGATGCAATTATTTTGATGTATTTGCATATTACCAAAAGAGTGATTTACATAGTTTCCCTAAAGATGAAATCTCATCTGATGAACCATCTCAATACAAGGGCTAAATTCTCTCACATTTAAATACCATGTCTTTAGAAACAATCTTTAGCAATCTTAAAACTGCCCGCACATTTTAAAATAACCAAAAATAAACATACTTATCAAATTCTTTTAATGGTTTTCTGTAGTTATGTGAGGTAAATAATGATTATAACTTAGCGCTTTTATGAACAACTTCACCATTGTTAAATTTCATCAAAAAAAAAAAAAAAAAAGCTGAAAACAAAGGATGAAATCTTCACAACCATTTATAAGTTAGCTCCTGAAACCACATCAGGAATTAGTGATTACCTTTGAGGCTGAAAGAATCCATTTATTGTTTTTGCTAATTGCAACATCTGTCACCCAGTCCCAATGACCCTACAATAAAGCAAAAATTTAACTATAACACAAGAGAAAAAAAATTATTCATTATAATTTAAAAACCCCATCTATTTGTACCATAAATCCATTTTGAAATGCAGTGAGAAAATTCTTATCTAGACTACCTCATGTCTAGTTATGGAAAAAAAACATTGCTATGAAGTTCATAGTTCCTACACGTACCTGAAAACAGCGGCTGTTACGACCTCTAGTACCCAGACCACCAGTTGTAGCACTCAGAACCACAGCTACACAGTTACAGGCTTAAGCTCCATTTAAGCATAGGCCTTTTCTATTTTTTAAACAATTTAATAAAGAATTGTAAAGAGAGAGTTAACTTCTAATACTCATTACTTAAAAAAATCTTGAGGCTGTTTATCATGTGATAATGGAGGGAAGAGCTGGGGGAACAGACAGCAGTTTCCCCCCCATTTTAAGGGAAGGAAACCAGTTCTGAAAGCAGGCCAGGTCAGGCAGCTGTATCAGATATCCTCGCCCTGACAACAGCAGCACAGCTGGTTTGAGGTTAACAGCATTGAGTTGGCATAAGAATAGAAACAGGTTAAAATCTAAAATTAATTATTTATTCCAGCTCGGGAGGTTATTCAAACATGAATGGTATTAATAGATAAAATTCCTAGAGTTTAGGAAGGCATGGTGTCATTTTGATAGACAAATGCCACACCTGAGAAATACAATAAAAACATGAACATGTATTTTTCCAGCACAGAAAAGTAGTCAAACATGCATACATAAAACATGGCATTTATAGCAGAATCTTTAAAACATGTTTTTAAACTGAGTTATGAGCTCAGAATATAATTATACCAAGGCAGATACTAAACCAGAATTCTCCATAGTTACAAAGATTATTAGCATTTAAACAGATGCCTTCTTTTTTTTATGGGAAACTGAGTTACAATGATTGCTATGAACTGGGAAATTTGCAGTAGCTGTATTATGTAAAGCACAGATGCTGGTGGTGAATGCATACTGTTACTTCTCAAAAGGTTTAATCAGTACAGTTCCAATTCTGGAGGTTAGGTAAGCTTACTTTTAAGGTAACCGCGTGAGGCACAGGCTTATGAGCTCTCTCTTCTATAAGAACATAGTATCTTGAATGCAACAGCAGTTGAAAGTGATTTTTAAGCCCAAGGTTTTGAAGGAAAGTGGTCTTTTCTGAGATCTTCCAGGTGGGTTTATTCATGAGTGTTTTAACTAAGCCTTGAATAGTGTATGCAGTAAGTAAGTAAGTCCATTAAAATAATACTTTCATCAGATACGAAAGAGCCAAGGTTGCAAATCTGAACTCTGACATTGCTTGACTTCGGTGAAATTAATATTTGCGAAATGCATGCACATAGCTTTATAAGTACTGTTAATCCTTTTCCTTGACCCACATGTCTGATCATTAGTTCAAGTCTTGTGGATTGTTTCCACTAAAATAAGAAATGAATGAAAGATATTGTAATACAATATGGTATGATTGCAAAAAAATAAAGTCATGATGGCACAAAAGAAAACCTAAGGAGAGATTTTTTTTATTTTATGCAGGTGTTATTTACTGCCTCAAATTTTGGGTAGTATTATCATGGATACGGAAGAAAAGAGGAGGCCTAGCTCTAAGCAGGGATAGCTAAATTCTGAATAGCTACCTCATTTACAGAATTGTCCATCCTAGAAAGTACTGCAACATTGTGGACCACATCCCCGTCCCTATCAGCAGTCATGTAAACTATGTAACCCAGGGACTGAGCTAAGCTTGACAACCTCAACACTGACATTTACTTTTTCTTTTTTATGTTTTTAATGTACTGTCTTCTGTGGACATAAGCAAGCACATAAACACACAGATATACGAGAGTGTGGCATTTCAAAATTACTATATGCACTGTCTAGGCTCTTGTTACTTGCTGGAAGAAACTCTCTCCTAAAACATAGGTACAACTCCATTCAATATAATCCTTAAGTGAGCTTGTCCATAAAAAGAGAAATGTAATAGCTTATTACCATCTGACTTGACAAAGGTAGTATTTTTGTAGGTAACTGTATAAGAATATATTGTTGTAGGAAATTCAGTCACACGAATCCAGGATATATTCCTGCCTGTATCTAAAAAGGACAGGCAAGGGTATTTGTCGGGTAATGAAATATACAATGCTTTTAAACCAGCAATACATTTTACACCATCTCATCAAACTAGTAACAAAATAAGAGTTCATTACCTTTAAGCTTAGCTTTTTATAGCCTGCCTCTGTATCCCATATAGCTATAGATTTGTCATATCCACCAGACACAACAAGTGATGCTGAAATATGAAATCAGAATACTATATTTTATCTTTGCTTTGTCATACAGACTAATAAAAGAGGCTCCTTCTAATGGTGAGTCACACTTTATTAAAAAAAAACCAATGAGCTATTGGTCATGCTTTAACAAAATAGCAGAAGTTCCTTTGAGCTGCTTGTTGTTAATGTTCTTAATTTTGTAAATATTAATACATAAATTTAGCAAACACACAACTGAGTAGAAAAAAACATACATGCAAAATGTTGTTGACTTAGAAAATTAAGGAGATATACCTTGTTTAAAAATTCAAATATAGAGAATACTTTCAGAATTGTTAGGTCAACTGTGAATAAAAGCAAAAAAGTAGAGTTAAGCATGGAAAGCATGCTTGCAGATTCCAGCATTCATAAGCCTATCTGCATTTGCATGTCTTCAAGCCACAGGTACATTTTTCCCCACAGAGTTGCTATTTATTTATTTGAGTTGCCTAACTCAGAAGGCACTGTTTGGCTATCACTGCAGATTAACCCACTGTCGGCACTTTGGGAGTCATCTTTACTGGAGTATTCAGGTGTGAAGTTGCAAAAGAAAACAGCCAATTAGATCACGATGTGCAGAAATTCACACTAACCCAGCCCAGTGAAAAGCAAGTTGTTTCAGTGCAGTAGCAGTTTGTAGTAACACTCATTTCATGTTGTGGAGACACTAGGAGTTCTCTATGACCTAGTGAAAGTAATGGAACTGGGGCAGTAAGAAATAGCTCCCCACTACCTCCCCTCAGATACAGGTAAACTGGGGAGTCTGTTTCTTCTTCCTATTGTCCCCATATCCAAGCATCAAGGAGACATCAAATTCCAGGTGCCAAATTGTCTTGCTGTAACTCATAAATACCATCTCATTTGAACATGGTAGTTTATGTGCTTCATATGTGTAGGTGAGAATGTCCATGAAGTTTTTTAGAAGCGTATTACTAGCATACATTGTTTGGGCTGTGAAGTAACCTTACTTTTGGGGGTACTAACAAAGACATACACATTTTCCTAATTATTACAGACCAATACAGTATTTCCTGAACATGTTTTTTCAGCTAACTAATTCTAGGAGAATAGCTGAAAGTGCTAAGTTAATATTCTAACATAGTATTGTGCTTTTGCTCCATTATGATCTTTTTATTATACCTCTCAATGGGTATATCAATTAAGCAAGTGTTCCAGTTGCCTGGTTAAGATGGAACACAGACCATCAACTTCAATTTACTTATTTACATGGACATCATTTTCTCATGTTATCTTGGAAATGATTAATTAATTACCTGCATGATTAGAGTGGTCACTCATGGTTCATCTGAGACATCCTATAGATATTGAGATACATCATGCACTAGTATTAAGATAACTCACCATCTTGGCTAAAAAGGCAGGAACTAACAGAACCCTCATGCCCTTGGTTCAAGGAAACAGGTTCATGACACTGGAATTCTCCTGTCTTTATGTCCCATATTTTTAAGCTTTTGTCCCATGCTGTGCATAAGTAATGACCATCAGAGGTAAAGCAGCAATCTGAGATAGCATTGCTGTGTCCCCTGAAACACAGATGACAAACACAGAAAGAGCGAGCTTTTGTAACCATTACAAATCTATCAAAGAGCCTCCTGCAATATTGAGCATGCCATCTCCATCCAGTAAAGCACCACAAGCATAGTGTGAATTTTAATCATATGAATAGTTTGTAAAGTCTCTGGAGCTGCTTACAACCTCACAGCCAGCATGGGTTTAAGTCCCTTATTGGATTATGTCATTTTGCAGGACTGAACCCAAGTTGTTACGTGACAAGTGACCAGCTTTTTTTTTGTTGTTGTTGAACACAGCTTAACAAGAAATTGTTCAGCAGCTAAAACACAACCACATTTTACTAAAAGCAAATTACCGAAAAGGCCACCCATTTTTCATTCAGTAAGTAGCATGCATCTATCTCTACATGTAAATTTCAACTCAAACACTTAGAGGAAAAAGATTAAGCAATTCTAGATTAAAGCCTAAGTTTGGAAGCAGTGATACCTATCGGAAAAGAAATCTGAATGTTCCAGAACTGGGTGAGGACTCTAGTGCTTCCTGAAATCTACAGCGAGGAAAGGATCATGAACATCTCTTACAGGAAACAATGCTGTAGTCACTGCAATTTAAAAGGAACATTACAATGTTCCAGATTGAATTTCCCATCCAAAGTAATTCCTAATCCCTCAAAGACAATTTTATTACAGTGTTTAAAGGCAGACTCTCTCTCTGATTATTGTTTTAAAAATTCAAAGCTAAATTGGTTGAGTTTATTTAAAGCCATTGATATTTTTAATGGTTGATTTGACATCTCTGTTGCTGCATACTTCCTTCTTAAAGTGATAAAAATATCCTAAATTGACATAATGATTTTTCTGTATTACTAACTTCAGTGAGAGATGCAAGAGTTTAGCATGTGAAGGCTCAGGAGATCATACAGAGCAAGGCTTCTGGCACTCGGTGTGACCTACTCCAAAAGCATATAAGGAAAAATGATCTGGAAAAACGATCTCTGGCCATAATTGGTTCACTGTGAAAAGGAAAGTACATATTGAGCTTGGGTCCGCTTCTGTCCTGAATCCAGTCCTATTTTATACTTCCATTAACAATGTAGAGAATGAGATAAAGAGTACAGATGTGAAATGAAGCCAAAGAGGGTCTGCAGTAATACAAGGGAGAAGATAAAAAGTCAAAGTTATCTTCACAAACTGAAGACATTATCGAGAAAATAAAAGGGTTATAACAGCCTCTATAGGGAACAAAGCTGTCATCACTGCAGTTTGTAGGAGTCTTACAGTGTTTAATCAATTATCTAATATATGAGCTGCCTGATGAGGTCAATTTTGTCAAGTCTGACATTCTGTAGTAACATACAAATAACTGCAGATTTGTATGACAACGTACAAATAACAAACTGGGAACAATGGACTACATCACAGTTCTGCAAAAAAAAAAAAAAAAGAATGCAACAAATATTGACTCCTCTTCATCATCATGCTGTCAAAAAAGGTAAATCTCATCCCAGGATGTATGAATGGAGGCACATCCACAGAGAAGCATGTAATAATAGTTCATTTCTATTTTTTTTCCAGTTAGAGGAAATACTGTTTACATTATGGGCCATATAATTCAAGAAAAATGTGGGCCAACTGGAAAGATCTCAGAGATCAACAACAAGAATGATCGATAAAATAGGAAATAATAATTAAATATTAAATTAATAAGGATTGTTTAATCTACTGAAAACATGACTCAGCAGATATAACAGAAGTTCTTGGATATATCTAAAAATGTAGAAGAAAACAAGGGAATAATCTGATCTCCGTGTTTGAAGTGGATCTAAATGGAAACAAGTGAGCTTAAGCTGCAGCCAAAATAGTCCACCTTAGGGAAACCTTTCTAACGATCAACACAGTGAGGCAACAGAACAGAATGTTTGGAAGCCTGTGAGGTCTTCACTGGAGCTCAATAGAAGCACAATAGATCATCCTGTGGTTGCTCTGAAGCCCAGGAATTTTATGAACATGAATCTGGTTGCAGTGCAAACCCTAATTATCACAAAATATTCTGTAAGAACTCATGATTAATTATCAATTCCCAACATCTAGGTATATTTTCTCCTTTTCTTCTGTATTATTTTTGCTTTACTCCATAATGTTTTTAAAGACTGCACTATTCTAAATAGTATTTTATCTCCTTATTCATGAATGACTATACATTTTTCCTAATTAGTAGAAACTAGAACAAGAAGTTTACACTGCAGTACCATAATGCATATGCTATCTTCTGCCTGCATATATATAGCCAAGAACCTAGAAGCTCTAAAAAAACAGCACTAGAAATGCTTACAGTCATCAAAAATACGTTTTTTCAATTATTTACAGCAGGAAGTTTAAGTAGACCATTTTATTCACACTCTATGTCATTTGCTTGCGTATTACTTTATTTAGTTCAACAATTATTGTTCATTTTCTCTAGTAGAAATCTTAGTATTAATTTCACTGGTAATTGTAAAAGATACATATAATGCCATGCATAATTAACTATAGTATTGTTTCTTACTCATTAATTGTAATTGAAGTGGATTGTGTTATCATATCCCATAGCTTTATAGTCTTATCATATGATACTGAAGTCACTCTTTGGTTATCAGGGTCAAGACAACATCTTGTGATTGTACTTTTGTGATGACCTATACAAAAACCATCAAATGAGACTTTTAGTTATTTTGAATAATTACATCTGGACCTCAGAACACAGGTCTGAAAGGCAGAACTACCCATAACATCTATGCATCAATCTATTTCCAAAACACTGTAATTTCAAAATTGCTGTTTTACTGGCTAGGACACTTCCTCACCTACCTCTTGATGAAAGAGAGGCCTCATAGTTACTGCAGATAGTATGAAATATGAACCTGTACCCAGGCACTCAACATACACGGTTAACGTAAATTCACATGCTGCTGTGCAGTAAATTACTTCTCAGCTCCATTCCTGAAAATAAGTCTGGAAGTGTGGCCCCATAATACAGATGACAGTTCACTGCTCAGACTCTTAGGGAGCACTTAAGCAGGTAATTATATTTTAAGAATGCAAATAGCACCATTAAAATAATATATACAAAATGTGTCCTGATAGTGTCACCTAACAGAGAGAGTTCTAATGAAGCTATTACAATCCATTTGTTGCCCTTTTTATTTTTAAACGCAAATGATTTTACCATCAGGCACCAATTCACAGGAGCACATTGACCATATGCTAATTTAACATTTGTACGACTGCTCATATATTTAGAAGCTGATTCTGCAGGAACGGCAAACTCCCTGACCTGCAGTCCTGACTGCAAGCCTCATGGGACTGAGGTCTCACTAGTGAAATTACTTTCAAAGTGAAAGTATGCTTCAAAAACCAATCACTGTTGGTCTAATTTTGGCTCATTATCTCCTTTTTATAAATCTATTCTGAAAAATACTGGGTTTAATGTCTTACAGACAACTTTCTTTAGACCTTCTCAAGTAAGGATATTTGAACTAATGAATTTTCTGCATTTTTTTTGGTAAGAAATAAAAAAAAAATCAAGAGCTGCATAAACAAGATGTAAAAGTGGTAAGTCTTACCTTGGATACGTGCCACTACTGTTGCACTCATTGCATCAAAAACATGTATGTCATTTTCTTTGTCTGAACTAGATACCACATATCTACCATCACAAGAAATATTACATGAAGTTACAATGCCTCCATGTTCTACTGTCCACTAAAGAGAAAATAACAGGGTTTAGAAACATGCTTTAGGGTTAGAGAGAGTTTTAGAGCAGACTTTCTATAACCTGTAAGCAGGTTCAGAAAGAAGGCTTTTGATATTACTTTGTTTTGGTGAAAGCTGATAGATGCCTTTACATCATTTTTCTATTTTTGCATTAGCAATAAACTTAAAATTAGACAAGGCCACCTTGTTCAAATCCTAAAATGTTAATTTAATTAATCTTAAATACATCTTCTGAGACAGGCTATTATTATCATGCGTATTTGTATCTGAAATAACTGAAACATGTTCATCAAGAAACTTACCCAAGATCAAGCAATTACCAGTACCAAAACTAGGACTAAAAATCAAGCCTACCTGCCCTAACTATATGGTATTGTGCTAACAGAGAACGTTCTTATTTATCAATAAGAAAGCAATAAATCTGAATTTTACAGTTGTACCTTCTGCAAGATGCACTCAAAAAGATACCTACAAGCCTCTTTCCTGTTTCCATATCCCAAGCCTTGACAGTGTTATCATATGATGATGTTACCACTCTAAAAATGATGTTTATGAAAACAACAATCAATATTTTCACTTAAAAGAAGGCATTTAAAAAAATAAATTACAACATTTAATTCTGACAATGATTTTGACATCCTCATACCCGCTAAATTAAAATAGATTTTTAAAGGCTACAGCAAAAATTATTGCATAACTTAGTTGAAAAAAGGATTTCAGATAAAAACTAATAATAAAAATGTCATGTATGTAATTTTCAGTGCAAGCAGTCAATGCAATTTCATTTCATCCATTACAAGATATTTAATTACTTCTAACATTAGAATAATTTTAATGCCATTATGATGTCTTTTCTTTAATGAATGTGAAGTGTTCTTGTCAGTAGGGTTTCTTGGATTTTCAGTAGTTATGGTGCTGGGTAATCCTCTACCACAAACGCTGCTCTGCACAAACACAAAGCCACATTAGACAACAAAGCTATTCAATAAGGTTTACGACAACTGGCAGGTTTCCATTAAGTGGGAGGTCAAAAGTTTTTCCCTCATACATATTTATTAAAATATCCCCAAATATCTTAAGTAATACTTACAATGAAAATCAGTGGATGTGACAAATGTTTTTAGTACCAATGTGGCTTTTTTCTTCTTAAATAAAGTTCAGAAACTGTCACTTTGATACATCTTGCCCAAGAAACTCCATGCATTAACATTCTAACAACTAAAAATACAATTTTATTATTAAAACATTTTTATTTTCTCCATATGTGTATACTTCCTGCAACCAACACAATCTCTGCTCCTATACAGAAACACATAATGCAGAAGATTACATGAAGTTTATGAACTGGAGCATTTTGGATTGTAAAGTGATTTCCAGAGCTGCAGACAATGGCATTTTACTTGCTGTTTAGCAGTTTTAAAAAATATACACAATTGCAATAGGCAGCGTAGCATGCGTACTATTCCGTGATCACAAAACTAATCGATCAACTCTACAACCTGATAAAAATTGATTTAAACTATGACTTAATGATAAAATATGCCAGAAATAGTACCCCTGGAGGCAATGCATGACTTACTTAACCAAATGTTAATATATGCTGCAGTTGTTTTAATTATTATGTCCACAGATTGACACTGGATTAAGATGCATTTCTTCTTTAATTAACAAGACAAGCTTAATGGAAAGGCTATAGAATATTAATAAACACTACAGACAGAAGAAAACTTTTATGAAGGTATAAATCTCACTGACAGATGAACCTCTGAACCTTGGCTAATTCATTGTTGTTCTTTTATAGAAGTGATATATATTTATAGACCCCTTTCAGAACACATGGCAAAGATAGACTTCCAGTCCCATGTAACTCAGAAACAGAATTAAACAAGTCCTTTGCCCTAAAAGAGGCCATAATCTATCGGACTATTCCAACATGCATTTAAGACAATAAAAAGATTCCTGTTGAATTCAGCTGACATCATACACAAAACAGAAAAGATTTAAGAGCTTCTGTACAAATTGTGGGTGAGAACAAGGTGAGATTTATGGTAGTTCACATAGATGAAGTCTGGCAGTAAACAGTCTGCTAGTAGAGTATGGACAGCATAAATGAAAGTGCAAGAATGGAGAGAAGTAGGAGGATTGTATGGAGGAAAGGAGATGTAAGACAAAAATTATAACAGAATGACTTATCATGGAGTACAGAAGTAAGCAAAAGAAGTTAGACTTTGATGTAGTATAAGTTAGGAAACCACAGGAAGGATTGAAAAAGTTACTTGTTCTAAATTTTGTACTGTTTCCACATGCACGGAAATTGAACCTTGAAAGCATAAAAAACCCCCCACTTTTAAAATAAATTAAAATAGAAAATGGTCACCTTTTGTCATCAGCAGTCAGGTTGCACTCAGAAATTGGGGCGGTGTGTTCTTCTTCAAAAACTTGAATAGGAAAACCTTTCTCAACATCCTTGAATAAATCCAAATGAGTTTGATTAGGAGGGGGTTTGCTGAATTGTAGAAAAAGTATGAAGCATCATAAAGTAAGGGAAGACAAAGCTTGTGAAATCAGCAAAGTTAGTCTTACTTCAGTTACTCCTACAATCTCAGACCCTCTGTTCCTTCTTTTAATTTCCAGACTGACTGAAACAGAGTTCTTCATCTAACACACCCAGACTTCTGTTTATGTCCTACCCATCCGAATAGTTTTCACCAGAAATTTCTTGAAGACAGTTCTCCTTAGACTCTCACATCCATGTCCATACCTAAATCCTGGCAAGTCTTTCTTCCTAAACTAATATATGGCTTTCCATTTTCATTCATAGTTAAAACTGTCACTCTCAAGGCCTGCCGTCCCTGTATCAATTATTGCAACATCATTTTCTTCACAACTGCAGTCTCCCCTGCTTGTATCCATGTGCAAAGCTCTTCCACAGATTTCCCTTTACTGTCTGTATTATCTCATTCCCTCAGTTTGTGTTCCTTCATTGATTCCTCGTTCTCAGTCACAAATACAAGCCTTGTCTTCAAATGCAAAGCTCTTTGTGATTTATCCCCTGGCATCATCTCCCTTTCTGCCCTACCTTTGATGTCAGCCTTTGTCACACTTTCAAAATTTCTGAGTCCCCGTTGCTGTCCTTCATGTTTTGAAGGAGTCACCTATAAATAACTGGAAATCTCTCTCATAATACAAAATCCCATTCACGTCTGTTTTGTGATTCCCACAACAGCAATCAACAGATTGCTGAAGTGCTAAGATGATGACCCATACTGCATTACACAGTTCATTTATCACAGAATCAGTCAGGTTGGAAAAGACCTTTAAGATCATCGAGTTCAACCGTAAACCTAACACTGCCAAGTCCACCACTAAACCATGTCCCTACGTGCCACATCTACACATCTTTTAAATACCTCCAGGTGACTCCACCACGTCCCTAGGCAGCCTGTTCCAACACTTGACAACTCTTTCAGTGAAGGCATTTTTCCTAATATCCAATCTACACCTCCCCTGGTGCAAGCTATATTTCTCCATCATCTTCTATCTACTTTGTTACACAGATATTTTTAAGTGATTTCAGGAAGGGAAGTCTCTTTTTGTCATATATGTATAATGTTCAAAGCATAGTGCAGTCCTAACCCATGAGTAAAGCCTTGAAGTTATTTAATAATACAAATAAAAATATGAATCAAGTTTTACAAATGGATTGTGGTGCTTGACTATAAATATCAAAACAAAAAAACCCTGGAGGGCTGCTGACATGCAAGGTAACTCAAAGATCAAAGTATCACAGGATCAGTCATGAGAACCTTCATCCAGGTAAAAAATCTTCTATTTCCATGATTAACCAAATTATTTCAATTAGATTTTTGTTTGTGTAAGTACCAAGAGGTTTCAGAATCAGTCTGGAAGCACGCAACATAAACTCCCTTCATTGCATATGTGTTCTTTCATTTGTCTTCATTATGAGAATAAAATCTTGCACCTCTGACTGCTGCTCCCCTTTTTAACATCAACTGTCAAGTCTCAGATCTAGAGCTGCTTCCTTACAAGAACTTTCACTTTGCTATCCTGCTAACTTGGCAACTCTCGGTAACAGAAAAAAATGGAGTGAAATTAGATTTATTTTTCACTTTTTCACTTATTTTCTGAATGTGTGTCAATGCACTATAGGCCTAGCAACTGACACTAGAATCATTAGGAATGTCTCTAAGACTGAAGAAAAAAACCCAAAAACCAGATCAAAGTTACCATATGTTCTTCTATTTTTCTGAATCAAAAAAGCCTTGCAGTTACAACTGCCCTTCTAGACTTATCTGGTCTTTGCTGTGTGCACTATTAATCTTTATTATCCAAAAGATGTGTAGACTGTCAGTGAGATACTGTCTGTTCTCAAGAGGAACTTCAAATGCTTTCTCAGTATACTCAATCATTTGATATCTACTCTTTCAAAGGGAGAAAAAAAGAAAAAAAAAGAAAAAAAAAAACACCCCCAAAGTGAAATTGTCAGGGCTGGCCTAGCCCCCCGCAACCAAGTCCTCCGTACTCTCCTGAATTCCAATTGCTTCAGCTGTTCCTGCAGAGATGAAAATTAGACTTGTCCAGACAAAATTAATCTTATCAAAATAAATGAACATAATTTTGCCTATACATTGCTATCAGAAATTTCCCAATACTCAGGCAAATAGTTTTCGATAGATTCTGAAAAATAAGCATTGATTGACAAGTGTTGAATAAATCTTTCTTAGATAAAAATTGTAATGTTTCTTAGACAGATTAACCCCTCCATACTTCAGGCAAATAGCACATTATAGTCTTTCCATCAAAAAGTACATTAATGGATCTACTGTGCTTAAAAAAATTAGTGGATTACCTTCTTATTTTTGGGTCTTGACTTCAGTTTACTTACACATAAGACAGCTGAATAACATTTCACTACAGAAAAACACAAGTTCCAGTTCTGAGTTCAGACAAAGCAGGGAAGTTTGGAACTGTCAATCCAACAGTTATTAAACTATAATTGCAATGACTAACACACTGAGATACTTATTTTTATTACACTTTTATTTCTCCTATCAACAATATTTGCTTAAGATCTCCATGTTTATTTACTTTGGAACTGATCATGAAAAGATGGGACTTTTTGCATTCTAGACTTCCTGATTTCTTAGATCTAGCCATCCACAGCTCTTGGATAACATAATGGTGCTAAGCTGAACACTACCTGGACTTTTTACACTTCTAGGGTTCTTGGGGTTTTTTCAGTATATTTGAAAAAAGGTTTAGATTATAGTAGAAGCCTAGTACTGCACTGGTAAGAAGTCAACACTTTAGATCCTTTATAAAATTATTTAATCTGTATTCCTATCATATTAAGGCATTACTATAACTCATTACCAATTCTTGAATCAAGTCATGACAGTTTAATACATGCCAGATCTCAATGCCTGCCATCTATTTAGCACAGCTACGCTGTCATTTGCTTGCATGAAACTCAAGGGCTCACATAACTATATGTCTCCAAGCTATCTTTGAGACTAAATTTAGATTTGATCACCCAGAATCTGTACACTTCCCCACATCAGATCTTGCCACTGCCCTCCCCAAGGTGGCTGGAATTTTAGGGAAAGGCCAGCTAACTACACAAAACTTGGAGGAGCAAGAAAATAAAGGGTGCAAATCAAGATATAAATAAAAGGAAAGAGCGAGTTGCAAGTATTAAAAGACCATGGCCATGCTGATAACAACTGTGTGATCCCTAACTTCTACTTCTCCACAAACAAGCATATACAAGTCAGAAAAAGGAACTTTCAGAAGGAAAAAAAGTAAGCTTTGTGTATCATCTTACAGTTTTAAAATATTAATAAACTAGAGCTCTGATTCAGTGTATGCTACATATGTTTTAAAGGGTCACCCTTTAATGTCAAAGAATATGTTCAAAGTATGAAATAGAAGTTTTACTATTTATCTGTGACTGCAAAAACATTTACAGTTGCTATTTTTAAACTTCAGTAAAATATCTTCAGAAGGCTCCTTGGTGATTCAGTCAATCTTCATGCCTGTATAACATTCCTTGTTTGATTTCAGCTTAAAGATTTTTTTTTAATTTGTTGTTGCATTCGTAACATACCCAGAGCTTCATTGTTCTATCGTAAGAGCATGAAAGTATTTTTGTGTCTTCAAAGCAAAAATGGCAGGAGCTCACAGTATCACTGTGTCCTCCCAGAATTTTAAATTGGACCTGTAAAGGAACAGAGCAAAGTTTAAGAATACTTTTCCTTGAAATTATTTTTGACAGCTTAGTCCACAAGGGGGAGTATGAAAGCAAGAACTGGAGGAGAGTATTTTGAGTGCCATTTGTCTGAGAAGAGTTCCCCTTCTCTCCTTGGTACTAGCTTGGAGCTGATTTACCAAATCTGGTTGAGAAAGAAAGGTTGATTTTTATTTTACTGGAGGAGAAGGAAGTTTGGTTTGGTTTTGTTTCCTAATTACTCTTCCTCTCATGAAAAGTAATATTTATCTTTAAAGTCCCTCTCAAGTTTTTCAAACACCCATTTCCTTGGTTCTGGCCCACCGAAGGGCAGCACATCAAGCTCTTAGGCCACACGTTTTAGCCAAGACCGTTACAAATTTTGTCAAAGATGTTTTGATGTGACTTTTCTTCAGTCATTTGGGAATTTGCTCATGACTGTCCAGTATGCGTTTGTGTGAACAGAGCTAACAAAAAACCCTGCTGCCGTAAGCATTAACCACACGTAAAGCGACAGCGTTGCACCCCTCAGCTTTCAGCAGCCCCACTGGCCCCAGGCACAACG